TGATAAAACCACCCTATCGGAAACAATTGTAAAATTGAACAAATTAGCCACTGCTTATGGACCCTAGGGTTGGCGGCACCAAAGCAAGACAGCTCGGCAACGCTTCAAAGGGGACGAGACTCATAAGAAAAAAAAGGGTGCTTCTCTGCTGGAGCAATAACCCTAAGGAAATACCCGTCATCACTAAACCTTAACCCTAAGAGAGGTGCACAGGACATGTAGTTGCTGTAAGCTTTAAATTTTAAATGTCTTACGAAACAACTTTTTATTTATAATTAAACCCAACCCAAAGTTTAAAATCAACACCATTACTTCGGCAAAACCAACTAATAAAGAGTTTAATTTTGGCAGTTTTACCATACAAACAGAAACCTTTTTTTTATTGGTTTAATGTCAATTTTGATCCCTCAACTTAAGATTTTGCATAATTTTCATCTCTTAATTTTTATAAACTTTTTTAATCCATTAATCATAAAAAATGTACTTTTTTTAATTCTTTCATCAGTTAATCTGCTTAGTTTATTTGAATCTACAATTTTTTAATCCATCAACTTTTAATATATGCACATTTTCATCCTCAATTTTAAGTTTAGAAATTAAAAATGTACAAATTTAAATAAATTTAATGAATTAATTAACGGTAAATTAAAAAATGCACTTTTATAGTTAAGGGGTAATAAAAAGTTTTAAAAAATTTGAGGGGTGAAAATTATGTAAAATTTTAAAGTTAAGGGATTAAAATTAGTATTTAACCTTTTTTTTTTTTTCACAACGAAGGAGTTTAGCTCTAAAGAACGACAAGAAATTGACAAGTACTGCACATGGGCCTTTTCATTCCAAAGGAAGAGCAGTACTAGGGGCACTCGCCTCCTGCACTCTCCGGCCAACACTCCCCCTTTCATTGGGCCACGTTATTTTAGTTAGGCGAGAGGTTCACTTCAGAGCTTAAACAACCTTACGTGGCCCAATGAAAGGGGGAGTGTTCGCCGGAGAGTGCAGGAGGCGAGTGCTCCTAGCACTGCTCTCCAAAAGAAATATAAAAAAATCAACATCACTACTGTATAAAAAAAGAAGATAAATATAAAAAAATATTTTTTAAGTTAAATTGAATATTTAAATTATTAAAATATTTTTAATAAAACTCATATATATTTATTAATTATTAATAATAATTTAATAATTGTAACATATAAACAACATTTTTAACGTTGAGTGCAAACTTAAAAACACGAAGCTAACATATATTTTTAATGTTTTCTGTTAGGAACTTGCATTTCATTAACTAATTTTTTTTATAAAATTATTAAAATATTTTAAATAAAATAATATAAAAATAATTTTAGTAAAAATATTTTAATAAATTTAAAAAATAAATTATACTTTTACCCTATAATCATTTTTATAAAATATTTTACAAATTTAAATTGTCATATAATTTTTCCATATAAAAATCTTCATATTGTGGCGTCAATCATGGCAGAAAAAAATAAATTTGTCAATGTTTTCACGCTGGTCCATCTCAGTAAAGGAGGAGAAAAGAAACGAATCTCACGCTGATCCAGTTCACATCAAATTATCTTCAAATATATATTTCTTAAAATTTCCCAATAATTAAACCCCACTTTTCCCTTCCGTATCTTCTTTGATTCCAGAGAGAACGACAATGGCAGAGGGTGGTAATGAAGAAGTGGTGAGCAACAAGCAGGTGATATTGCGGGACTATGTCACTGGTTTCCCTAAGGAAACAGACATGTACGTTACCACAACCTCCATAAACCTCAGGGTACCAGAGGACTCTAATGGGGTTCTCCTCAAAAACCTCTACTTGTCCTGTGATCCCTACATGAGAAGTCGGATGAAACACTCTGAAGAACCTGACTTTGTCCCTTACACTCCAGGCTCTGTAAGTTTCTTTTTCCTCTCTGGATAATGTAAAATTTTGGGTTTTGTATTGCGTTTGGGAAATGGGTTTGATTCCTTTTTGTCTTAATCACACCCTTTGATGAATGATTTATTTCAGTGGATTGCTTATTTCTTTTATTTATTGAGTCAAATAGTATAAAAATCTGCTTTTGTGGCTTTTTGGGTTACTGGGTTCTTTCTTTTTCCATTTTCAAGAAAGGAAGGAAGAAAAATTATTCAAATCCGTTTGCTTTTTTGATTGTTTGTCCTCTTATATGGGTTCTAATCTTTGATTTCTGGAACTTGTTTTGGTGAAATCTTGCAGCCAATAGTTGGGTTTGGAGTGTCCAAAGTTGTGGACTCAAGGCATCCTGAGTACAAAAAGGGTGACTTAGTTTGGGGCTACACTGGGTGGGAAGAATATACTCACCTTAGTGAACCTCAAGTGCTTTTCAAAATTCCCAATACCGATGTGCCACTTTCCTATTACACTGGACTTCTCGGTAAGCGGCTTGCGCTATGGCTTCAGATTTATCATTTATCTATGTTTAGTGGAATTATACTTGGTATGGAATTGGTTGATTGCACATGTTTAACATCACTTGAGTATGCTTTATGTTCATAGTTTTTCGTGCCTTAGTCTTTAGTTTATTAGAGCCTAATGATTGACTGCCTTGGCCCCAACACAGTGGAGTGGCTTTTGTTCTTCACTCTTGGCATGTTTGTTTCCCCTGAAACAATTAGCTATGTCAATTGACTGAGTGAGTTGTTATGGTTGAATTTAGAGTTCATGTCTTCTCCTCTGTCTTTACTGATTTTGGATTTAATGGGATGTATAGGTTTGTAAATGAATTTAGATCATGATCAGTGTAACGTGTTGGCTTGGCAGTTTGAAGAGATCAATTTGACCATATTGGAGGCTTTTAAAATTTATTTACTTTCACTGTCTGCAAATTCCAACATTTAGGATTACATGTTCTCTGTTTTATAGTGAAATTCCTGGTCATCTAAATTTAGGAGCCTGCTTTTAAAACTAAAAATAGTTTTTTGTTATTGGTGAAGTCATCCAAAAAGAATCAATAACTAATTGGTCAAACAAATTGTTGCAGGAGATTATTAAAAGATAATTGGCAATTACAAGTAAAGCTTCTGAATATTATTGTCAAAATCCCTGATTCTAGGTTAACAGGATTAAATGGTCAGATTCATATGGATACAACACTATCTAATTAGGTCTACTTTCTCGTGTTCTGCATTATATTGTTAAACAAATTCTTCTAATTGTGCACAATTTGTTTCATTATAGGTATGGCTGGTCTCACTGCTTATTTCGGGCTGCACGATGTTTGCTCTCCTAAGAAAGGAGAATATGTATACATTTCAGCAGCATCTGGTGCAGTTGGTCAGCTTGTTGGGCAGTTTGCCAAGTCAGCAGGCTGTTATGTAGTTGGAAGCGCTGGAAGCAAAGAAAAGGTTTGCTACATCAAGCTATCATACTTCATTTTAGTTTATATGCTAGTTTTTATCTAATGACTGCAAATTATATTTTACCTCTACTGTGTATTACACTTCCTCTGTGCACATACAATGATAAAAGGACATGGCAGAAAAGATATAAAATGAAATTTTTACCATAGAGTTGCCAATGTGAATTGCGACTTCTCTTCATTGGTGTATTGGTTGGTTGAAAAAGCTCCAAATATATACTCTCAAAATTTTGTTTTTTCTGCTTTTTGATATGGTGACTCAAGCACAACATTCAACAACTGTAATGCCCCAGTTGATTACAAACTAATGTTACTTTGTTTTCTCTTTTTGGAGGTCGATCTGCTGAAGAACAAATTTGGGTTTGATGAGGCTTTCAATTATAAAGAAGAGAATGATCTCGATGCTGCTTTGAAAAGGTCAGTGCAACAATTTCCATGAAACTGTAAAAGTGGCTGTTCAGTTACAAAGATCCAGATGTCCCTAGCTCATATTTTCTATTTAAAAATTTTCTCAAGATTTCTGTTTTTGTGTGGTTTCCCTTTACAAAATTTTCAAGTTGATGGATTCACCAATATAAATGATTCTGTTCCTATGTTAGTCATCTCGTTAAACATGTAATTCCTTTCCGTCAAATACGGGTTCAAGCTGCCAAAATTGCATTCTTTAGGTTTTCCTCCTGTTGATGATTCAAACTGAACTATAAGCGTATGAGTTCTGTTACCCTATTATATTATCAAGGCTTTTACTGTTCTCTTGGTAGGTACTTCCCTGAAGGTATTGACATCTACTTTGAAAATGTTGGTGGTAAAATGCTTGATGCTGTGCTTCTAAACATGAGGGCGCATGGACGCATTGCTGTATGTGGGATGATCTCACAATACAATCTAGAGCAGCCTGAAGGTGTGACTAATCTAATGCAAATTATTTATAAGCGGGTCCGTTTGCAAGGATTTTTGGTCTTTGATTACTTTCCGCAATATTACAAGTTCGTGGATGCAGTATTACCTGACATTAAACAGGGGAAGATAAAATATGTTGAAGACACAGCTGAAGGTCTCGAGAGTGCTCCGGCTGCATTAATAGGCCTTTTCAGTGGCCGCAACGTTGGGAAACAAGTAGTTGTAATTTGTCGCGAGTGATTTGGTCTTATCTGTGTATCCTAGCAATAATGTCCAGAGTCTCATATCTAATAATTATAATTCATCTAAGAGGGTTTCTGGTTTCTTGGCCTGCTGTTATCCTGGAACTTAAACTTGACATTATGTTCGTCCTATGTATTAAATGACTGTCTTTTTTTTCTCATCTATGGTATTCTAGCTAGTTGTAATTGTCTTTTGCAAAAATTTGTCAGAACATGTCAAGTGGGTCAGTGAATCAATTACGATCCTTTGCATTTTGACCAGTAGTTGCAAAGAATGCAGATGTTAATCTGAACAAAAGACAAACATATAATAATACAATCAAGGTGCTTCAGCCAAGCACAGATATAAAATACAACGAACAGAATTCATGCTGTAATAGGTTTCTTTTTTTGGTGGAACGCTGTAATAGGTTTGATATCCTTCAAGTAACATGTATTGGGAATATCGAAAATCATCAAAGATTATTAGTAACATTTAAGGGGTGTGTGATGCAGAGGTCCAAGGTTATTAGTATTTAGAAGTTCGAGTCAATCGCGCAAGTAAGAATATTTGAATTATAAACAAGTAATAATTATTAATTATTAGGTATTAACTATTTGTTATTCAATATTTGAACATTTAATCCAAACAACTCTTTAAATCTCTTAAGATTAAAAAACAAAAAGCAGAATGTATATCAATTTAGGGTTCATTTAGTATAATAATGGTTTTTAATTTTTATAAATTTTACAACTCTAAATAAAAAAATTTATGTAATTTCATGTGTTTATATAATATATTATTATAATTATTAAAAAAATAAAAATAAAATAATTTTAATATAATTAAAAAAATTCATATTTTTTACTTTCAATGTCAGAACTTATTTTAAACATATTGTTAGTTTTCTTTTTTAATTATTTTACACTTTTACTCTCACAGCTCAAGTTTTAGTTATTAGATTTTTTAAATAAGGGTAATTTGATTTAATTGTTCTACTTTTTTTATTTTAATAAAATATTAAATGTTAATATTTCAATTTTAGCCTTTTGTCTAAAGATATAGAAATACATTAGGATATTCTCATTTAATTATATATAAGGGTGAAAATGAGAAGATAAATTTTAATTGTTGTAATAAATGAATTTTTTTTATAATCATATAAATGTATAAAGTGGGACACTTAAATGATTTCACTAGAGAGAATAGTTTTAGTAGTTATAACAAGGAAATGCTTTAAAGATAATTTTTTATGTGTCATTTAAACACTTAAATTTTTTTATTCATTTGGATTTATGATATTGAATGTATTTATTTATTTAATAATATGTAAAGATTATAAAAAAAATTATAAAAAAGTTGTCTTTATATTACTATCTATTGTAAAATTTATGAAAAGTAAAACTAATAAACAAAAATTACAATCATAATAGAGAAAAGGGGAAATCAAATCTTCTTGATATTAGAAATGACAAAACACCTAATAATAGTTACATGATGAATTTCATAAAATTAAGACTTATAGTATATGTCATATATTTAATAATTACATAATAAATTTAATAAAATTAAGGTACACATTATATTTTACATATTTAATAATTATTATTAAACTTCTAACATTAAAAATATTAAGATGTCTCTGTTTCTCATTTTTCTCATCATACTATATGGGCCCTAGTTTTTTTCAACGGAAATCATTAGCTATTAAGAGTTTCGATAAAGAATTTAAAAAATTACGATATTTCTTTTTGCACAATTTTAAAGTAATATGAATGGAAATTCTGTAATTATAAACATTCTATTTTTTTATAAATTTATTCACTCTCCATATGGTAGGTTATGCAACCTAGAATAGAAAAGAATCAACTCTATTACTTTAATTTACCGAAAAATGGAAACTATAAAATTTTTCATACAAAATTTTTTTTTTTTGAATGGTCAGGGATCTCAAAAAAATGGGTGTGAAAGTTATTATTATTATTTTTTTATTTGAGAGGTTATGTGAGGAAATAGAAAAAATCTAAAAACTTAACACTGTCCTAATAGAGAGAGAAAGGAAATGAATTGAAAAGAAAAATCCATGCACACAAGCAAGAAAAAGAGATATCAATTATAAAGATTTTTCCTTTCAAATCATATTATCTTCAAATATATACTTTCTAAAATTAAAAACTATTATGTAGCATAAATTACAGTAAACCGCGTAATTTAAACCTTCAAGTAGGATAGAATCCCTTATATTAAGAAATGCTTCCATTCATTGTTCTCATTCAATACCAATAATTAATATTTTGCCATCCAACCTGCAAAATAGGACTCCGTCCGTATATTTTCTCAATAAAGCCCCCGTCTTTCCTTTCCATATTCACTTGACTCTGCCCTACCCCTATTTTTTTTTTTTTAATTACCCAGAGAAAGACCTTAGAAAGTTGAGAGAGTTTTTAGGACGATGGCAGATAGTGGTAGTGAAGAAGTGGTGAGCAACAAGCAGGTGATACTCAGGGACTATGTCACTGGTTTCCCTAAAGAAACAGACATGTACATTACAACAACCTCCATCAAACTCAGAGTACCAGAGGGCTCTAATGGGGTTCTCCTCAAGAACCTCTACTTGTCCTGTGATCCCTACATGAGAACCCGCATGAGATACTCAGAAGAACCTCAATTTTCCCCTTACACTCTCGGCGCTGTAAGTTTCTTTCCCCTTTCCTTCCCCTTTCCTTCCCCTTCACCCTTTAGAAAACGTAAAATTTTGGGTTTTATAGCGTTTGCACTTGGGTTTGATTCCATTTTGCCTTAATTAATCACGCTCTGACGATCGAATATTTTATTCCAGTGGATTGCTTGTTTTTTTATTTATTCCATCCATATATTAGTGTTTATTAATCATATCTGTACAAAAGTTATGTGAAAAAAAAAAATCAAAATTGCTTGTTCTAATTAAGCACCAACCAAAAATAAAAAATAAAACAGCTTTATTTCTCTTTTTAAACTTATTTTAGTTATTTTAGTCTTTTTTTAATGATATTTTATTAAAATAATTAATATTTTTTAACTTAATTTTTTA